CATGATCTCGCGGTCTGTGAGTTCAAGCCCCGAGTCAGGCTCTGTGCTGACAGCTGGGAGCCTGGAGCCTGGAGCCTGCTTCGGATTCTGTGTCTCCCTCTCTCTCTGACCCTCCCCCGTTCATGCTCTGTCTCTCTCTGTCTCAAAAATAAAATAAACATTTAAAAAATTTTTTTAAAAATTTAAAAATGGACTGGCAGAGTTCAGTGTTGCAGAGTTGAATGCAGTGGTCCAGATGTGGCCTGGCCTTCACAGAGGATGGTGGGACTATTTCTTCCCATTCATTTATAAATTACCACAACCATCTGTTTAATCATCTTTTCTAGAATAGTGCCAGAAATGGCCGTCAAGATGACTCATTCCTTAGATTTCAGGATCTTCTTTCATCACTTACTGGTCCTTATTTGCCTGCCTTCTTTTAGCCAGCTCATCTCTTATGCTACCAGCACAGTCATATATTGCACTGCCCTTTATTCTTACTGGTTTGTACAAGGTAGGGAAATATCCAGGTTTTACCTAACTTTATCAAAATATCTTTTCCTGCTCACCATGAACACTCAGTCAGCCTGGCATACAGAGCCTCTAAATATTTGTTAAATAAATAAAGAATGAATGAATGCATGAATAAATAAATGTCAAATGTCACATACAGATGATTACACCAGTCTGTAGAGCACACTCCACCCCAAAAGGAGCCTGTCTTTTAGCTTCCTGGGCCATGACCCAGAATAGATCATTTCTTCTCATCAGTATCATTGACCTCGACTAACTATTCATTTTCACAGTTTCCCTTCTTTCCCAAACCTGTGGTTAGCAGAAGAGTGGCAAATATTATCTGACCCACTAAGTTCTTCAGTTTCCCTCCCTAGACTTCAGTGTCTTCAGAACAATTCTGTTCCAGGTTTTGCTTCCAACAGTAGTCATATGTGAACTTGGGGACATGAATGGCATGACTAGTTGGTAAACTCTGCAGCCTGCCAGGTACTCACAATCCTCCTGAACAAGAGCCCTTGTGACAGAGGTGGCAGAACTCCAAGGAAAATCCTTCCCACTGAGGTAGCAACAGGAGTCCTGCCCCCCACCTGCCAGAACCTGTGAAGAACCTCTTCTGTTCTCAGGGGCAATGCCTGAGACCACCCTCTGAGAGGCAAAGAGCTACCATCTAGTATACTCCTTCAATGATAATGTATTGTTTCTCCTTATCTGTGACCTTCCTTTCGCCCCTCTTGGGTTTCATTCCCCTTCACCCAGCAGAAATCTTTCCTTTTAACTGCTTCCAATCTATTCTGTCCTATCTTTGCTTAACAAATCAGAATGAAGAAAAGTGTTCTTCAAACTCTTTTACCTTCTATTCTGTAGAAGGTAAGTGTACATTAGCTGCAGGGATGTGATAAACATACCAGAAAGGAAAAAAATATACCTTTCGTATCTCCTGGGACCCCAATTTCTTCTGGCTCTGAAAGAACTAAGAGTTCATCATGGGTCTCCATGAAAACTTTTCTTGTAAATTGCTTTAGAAAATGCCTGGTTTTATGCCTGATAGTAGTGTACTTGGGAAAGGTGCTTTTAAAACTGCTTAGCCCCTAGATGACTAAATTGCTAAATTACCTACATCAATCATGGGTTATTTAGTCCATCTCTTTGCCTCTGAGACAGATGGGAATATTTCTTCTCTCCAAAGACCTCCAAGAAAAAAAAAAGTATTCTATTCTATTCCTCATCCAAAGACTCTTGCACTCCAAGTTTAGAAGTTCTTCTTTGCATAGAACCCAAGTCCCTTTTGTTGGAACTTAAGACCTTTTATCTTTTTTTCTGGTCTCCAGCAGATATCATAAAGAAAAAAAAATAGACACTATTCAACATCTATTTGTTCACAGCCTTCTGCCTGGGGCTCTTCAGGGCTCCCCATTCTATTCAATATCCTCCCAAGCACTTGATGGCTGCTCTTAAAACTCCTTTACCACCTGCCCATCACCATCCACCAATCCCTTTACATTTGTCTCCCTCATAGCACTTTGAGATCTGGCGCTTGCCTCATTTGACACCTGCTTCAAGAACTAATCAGCGCTTGCAACAATTACCCAAGGTCTCCTAGCAGAGGCGGAGCTGAATATGGAGCTCCTGTCTATAATTTACTAATTCTCCTATAAAATGCACAGAGACAAGAAGATTTTGAAGGCCCAAAGTACCACTTCTCATTTGCCACAAGAAACACTTGACAGGCTCCAGCTCCATTAAGTGGCAGAGAACAGAAATCTCTCTGGCCAAGTGCAAGGACAGGAGAGCCCTGGATCAGGAGTCAGGAAGGCAAAGTTCTAGGCCAGCCACTGATACTGATGCCCGGTGAGCAGCTCTCATCCCTACTGACCCTAATTCCTAAGCAGAGCACAACATGTAGTTGCCTAGACAGCTTCTCAGGGCTCTTCCAGCATTCACATTCCGTGATTCTCTGAGTCTACAAAGGCCTTTATTCTCCCTTCTTAAAAGATACAGACCATGGCCTCAACACGTCTCTCTCCACCACCTCCATGGCCAGCACCACCAGGAAACACTTGGAAACCAATGTTTCTCAACCTGTTAAAATGATCATCGTTCCCTGCCCCCAAAAGAACTTTTCTATGCTTCCTTCCTCAATTGTCACAGTCAATGAAAATTTAATGCCGTGAATATATTGTATACCTTTTTAGGTACCATATATATACCTGTGCTTAATACATAAAAGGACAGGTTTTTGCTACCCCCCACACCAAGAACCAATTTTCATCCTCCTTAGAGACAATATTAACCCTGCTGAAAATGTGTGATCTAGATTGGACTGAGGGCTGAGTCTAACTGTATGATTCAAGTGGGGTTATTTGTCCCAAACTCCAAAAGCCATAAACCATATTCACAAGCCGTAAGTTTTGAAAACAATCCATTGCACAAGCCAAGGTGGACTCAGCTAACTTCCTACTTCCCTAGGGAAAACAGCAGCTTCCCACCCTCTTCCCCAGGCCACAGAGTCTCCACTCCAGGGCCTGTCCTGGTCCTCACCTCTGCCCAGGGCTCCAACTCCATTCATATGGATCCCAGCAGTAACAATGGGAATGATGAGAACAAGGTGAACAATGGGTGACATTGTTCCAGGAATAATTAGAATCCACTCCAAGGGCAGAAACAACTGCCCGGGCTGGGATGGAGGCTCATTCCAACTCACTCACACGAGCCCAGCTCCCCACTCCCCGGCAGGATATTCCCCTTCACCTTACCTTGGCACGCTGGCCAAATAGGTCACGAGTTTCCGCAGGTCTTCCTGTCTTATTCTGTCATGATTGCTGCGAGCAGGGAAGGTCAGAATGGGTCCACCTCGCTTATCACGGCCCCCTGTAGGGAGGAAGAGGAGGGCGGTTAAGAAAACCAGCTGGAAAGCATGCTGCACAGAAAAAAGAATTCCATCTGAGTGCTGGATGAAACAGGCAGAAATATGGTGCCCGGAGAAATGCAGTCACTGGTTAGGTGAAGGGTATGGAGTTTGGATGTAGCTAACATGTGTAACCTTGGGCAAGACTTTTTGACTTCTCTGACACCTCATTTGCAAAGTGCACCTGAAAATAATGATGAGCATCTTACAGGGTTGCCACAAGGACTGATGGGGAAGCACTTTAAAACATAAAGCTCTCCACAACTGTGAGATGATAATGAAGGTGGTGGTGACTGCTCTCATTGAGAAAACAAGCTATCGAATGTGTTATGGTCTTTGAAAATTTAACCTTCAATTCACTTCTCTTTGCAGACCTCTGTGAGGTAGAAGTGCTCGAGATGAACTGACTACTGTAGTGAGAAACCCTTAAAGCATCCATCCAGGACATCACTGCTGGGAGATTTTCAGATACATAGAAAAGATGTTAAGTGCTTTCTACACAGTCAAGATTCCACCCCTGCCTGTCTGCCTGCCTGAGGTACCACCTGTCACTCCTGCTAGAGGAGTACAGGAATCTTGATCAGAAACAAGGATGCTCAAGGTCTTAATCGTGGCAAATGCATATGTACACACTATGATTATAAATGTTTTCTAAATATCACATTAAAACAAGCAGGAAGGAGTATAGTGAAATGATGATCATTGTTGGTATTGGACAGCTGGGATTTTACATGGTTGCTTTTTCTTCTTTTTTCTAAACTTTCTTTTCACTATTTATTATAGGATTTAAAGATTTATTCTTTAATAGATGCTATGATTAGGAAGCAGGGCCAAGTTTCTCAGGAGGGTCACAGAGGACAAAGCTAAGGTACATCCTTACAGGCACTGGTTATTATGCACAGAAAACCCCTGTCATGATCACAGACTCTTGCACACATCCCAGGCAGCTGCCTGACATCCTCCAGAGTGGGGACCACAAGGGGATACAATTCAAGAAGGGGGAGGAAGTGACATGGCCATCACCAATACTAGAAAAGAAGCTTAAAGCTCAGCCCTCTGAATAAGGAGCTCTTCAAGGAAAGGCAGAGCCTCCCAGGGTCCCCACCCAAGTGTGAGTTCATGAATAATGTTTCCCTCTGATTGTGCGGTCCAGAAGCCATACAGACAGAAGGGAAGCTCGACAAACAAAACCTAAACCACTCCAGGATACTCCTGAGGAGGAAATAGGAAGACTGCAAAGAGAAAAGGATCAAACAAGATCAGGCCAGTGAGGGACGTGCCCTGATGAGAAAACATTTCAGTAGTACCACCCCCACTTCCAGCCCCACAGCAGGGCGATTTGTATAGACACACCACAGCGTGGGACCTGGGCCCCTAGCTCCAGACCTTCCATACCATGGGCCCTGGTTCTTTGTATGAAAAACCACCCCAACTCATCTACCTTGGAAATGATCCCCATTTCCCATCTGCCTTCCACATGAGGAAAAGGAAGCAGAAGGATTAAATGGAAGGTTTCCCTGTGGG